TTGGGCCACTATGAATCAGAACTCTATGGCTGTGGGTTACCAGCCTACCTGTGCTAGGTATCCAGTGTCCCCAAACCTGGAAAATAGTTCCAAGTGGGAGCAGAGCCAGCGTCACTGGCCTGATCCTCTAGGGGACCCCAAAGATGCTAGGATGCAAGGACGCAGCCAAGTGTCTTTGCGGCAGCTTGCCACCCGCCCTGCCCCACCTGCCCGTGAGACGCTTAGAATGAGACACATCTGACACTCACTCCAAAGGTGTGCAGTCGTCTAGCAGCAGGGGTCCTTGGTGAGATGCCCCAGAGCCGGCCAGAGCAATCTGGTGGCTGGCACTGACCTTGCCCATATGGACGGGCCTGGCACCCAGTGAGACCGTGGGTCTTTGGGGGCAGAGGTGGGGTGGGGGGCAGGACTTGTGATTGGTTCTGCAGTCCAAGGACACCAAGCTGCAGTCAAGGTCAGCGCGTAGAACCCTGGCTGAGAGAGCTGCTTGAGGCTCTGACCCCTCCTTACAACATCCAGTATGTGGCCCAACTGAGGACCACCTGGTGCTGGGGAAGGGTTTGACCCTCAAGGTCCTCTGCCTGGCTCATCCCTCGGGGCCATCTGACATGCCTGGGGACAGCCCGGCATTCTTTGCTTCTTCCTTCAAATACGCTTTGCACATGGAGTAAACGAACTGTTCTGAGACCTCCCTTAATGAAACAAATTAATGAGGAGGGCTCTCCCGCTTCCCTGGCCACCCGGTGTCTGTGTGGTGGCCCTCCTGTGGCCCCAGGGCAGCCCCAAGCTCATGGGGGAGAGGCGGTCTTGGAGCAGGAGGGTCTGGGGCTGGGCTACGAGGAGCAGTCGATCCAATCCAGTGTTCCCTTCTGGGTAGTTCTGCCGGGGAAGGCGGCAGCCGTGGGCTCTACCCATCTGTCTCTGTCTCTAGGGAACTGTGTGGGGCGACTTGTGGGGAGGGCGGGGAATCCCTGGGCTCAGCACCTGCTTCCCTGCCGCCCCCACTTGGCTTTCTCCATCCAAACGCCCTCCCCGCGCATCTCAAGTCTGCCTGGGGTCTCTCTGGGCTCACGCAGCTCCCGCCTCCCAAAAGGTGCATTCCGGACCCATGACAGTGTAGGGGGCTTTGCTGCAGGGCCCTGGGTGAGAGGAGGAGGGCGGGGATGAAGAATTCTGTGAGAAGGAGCCCTGGCGGTTATGTGTTTAACTGCTACCCACGGGGCTAGCAGTTGGAAACTGCCATCCTCTCGGAGGGAGAAAGAGGAGGCGCCCTGTTCCCGTAAAGAGTTACCGTCTGGGAAGCCCACAGGGGCAGTTCTGCCCTGTCCTATTGGGTCGCTGTGCACTGCAACAGACTCGGTGGTGGGGAGTGTTTGGGGTCGCTATGGGAGCAGATTCCCAGGCCCCGGTTTCAAACCACCAACCTTTTGGCGAGTCAAGGGCAAATGATGCTCGCCTCCCTGAGGCCTTGTCAGTACCAGCACTCTGGGCGCTATCCAGTTGTGCCCAGCTTCCAGGGTGAGACCCAAGGGACCTGGTGGGACAGGTGTCCTCTGAACGCAGAAAACAGCAGAGGATGGCCCAGGAGCTCTCAGGGGAAGAGGTGAAAATACTCCATTAGGAGCTCGCTGAGCCGGGCCGCCCCCACTCTCCACCCCAATGTCAGCCCCCATCTTGTCCTGAAGGAAGATCCCTGGCCACGACTTCCTGCTCCCAGATGACTCAGCTCGCAAACTCTAGGGCTGCCTTAAAGGGTGATCTATAGGCATTCTGGTGGTGCTGCCGGATGAGTATCCGATGGCTAACCTTGAAGTTGGTGGTTCAATCCCCCCAGCTGCTCCTTGGGAGAAAGAAGAGGCTGTCTGTTCCCATAGAGATGGACAGCCTGGGAAACGCTCCGTAGGTCGAGGTGAGTCAGAAGTGACTGGCAGTGTCGTTGCTGCTGTCTCGTGTGGGATCAAGTTGACAAGAGTGATGGGAAAGGGGTGAGAGGGCCTTGGGGGTCAGCGAGAGGAGGAGGGTGAACATGGCCGCCCAGTTTGAGGAACGTGGCCATGGCACGCCCTGGCACAGGGAGACACTGCAGAACGGGTCTGTGTTTTGCATCTTTCCCACAAGCACACACAAAAAGAAACGAATGCTTTTTGGAATTCATGGCCTTCTGTGGAAACCCTGTGGCAGGGGCCCTGCGGCCTCCCGGCATCACCATGTATTGCCGAGCTGTGGGAGGCGCTCAGGACTAGCCCTGCAGTCACCCGGAGGGTCAGACTGCGACTTCTGAAGGTCCGAGCCCTGAAGGTCTTGTTTTTCGGTGCTACCATTGAGCTTGGTTCCTCTGCTCTGAGCCCCTGAACGCAGGCAGGGCAGCAGCCTCCTGTCCCGGCGTTCCCGAGAGGCAGCATTCCTGTTCTTTCCCAGCAGCCCCTTCTCCCCTGGCCCCTGCCTTCCTCACAGGACATCGTTTCCAACTCTTTAATCATCTTTATTGCCTGGCGTTGGACCCCGGCCCAGGCCCACATCCTCCGCGAGCCGCACTGACCTGCGCCGGCAGCGAGCACCGGCAGGGCTCGGCGGAAGCCCGGCTTTCCAACCCGAGTGTCGCGCCTCCTCCCATCCTCCTGAGCGATGCTGCTGCTTTCCGGAGGCCTGGCACTGTCCCCGTGCTGAGGGGACTCCTGCTGAGCGAGGCACATGATCCAGCACCGGACATGTGGGTGGACTGGCCGCTGGGCAGCCGCCTGCCATTGCTGGGTCCCGTAGGCATCCTCTCCCCTTGGGGACACAGGGCACGAGGGTGGGAAGTACCAGGCCCAACACCTCCCCAGTCCCTGCCACCTTACCATCCCCTGTGGGCAGTGCCCGGGTTTCTTCCCTCTGCCAAGAACCAGAGAGCAGTGAGCCAAGGACGGATGTCCCACAGCAAAAGGGACACGCATACAACGCCACAAACCCACGCAGGCCAGCCCTGGCCAGGCCCAGCTCTGCTTCTGCAGCAGCCACACACAGCGCCAGGGGGCCGATCGCCTCCTTCCCACCAGGTGGCGCCTTCACTGCCCAGCGCAAGTGCTCAGGCCCACCGAGGCCCCTGTCCATCACAAGGGTGTCCAGTCCTCACCCACCCCCAGAATTGGGGCCTCCAACAATTGGCACGCTCCAGCTGGGGCCGGTGTGCAGAGGGGCAGCTGGGGGACCTTGCTCAGGCCAAGCCTTAGCCTCGGGGAGCCTGGGCAAAGGCCGACCTCAGCTCTGTGAGGGCATTCTCTGTCCACGGAGGGAAAACCACCAGCCGTCCGTCACCTTCCTCTAGGATGGGCCGGCAACCCTTTGAGACGAAAGAGCCGGTCCTGTCCCTCCCAACAATTTAGAAATGGCTCGAGAGCCACACGTGTGCTTTCACAAACCAGTGGAATCGGAATAACACCCTCCACATTTTCCGGTTCCACTTCAGAGCCGCAGATAGGGACCCACAGAGCTTCGTGCACCTCCCAAACCACAGTTTGCTGACTCCTGGCCTGAGAAACAACCCCCCTAGGGCAAAAACCCACGGCTGGGGCAGGGCCTTTCTTTGTCCTTTCATTTGGGAGCCCCGGTGGAGTCGTGGGTAAGCCCTGGGCTGCAAACCACAGGCCAGCAGATCGAAGCTACCAGCTGCCCCTCAGGAGAGAGATGAGGCTTTCTTCTCCCGTATAGAGCTACGCCCTCTGAAGCTCAGAGGGGCAGTGCCACTGTAGGGTCAGGAGGAGTCGGAGTTGATTCAATGGCAGTGAGTTGGGGGTTTTTGTTTATTTGTTTTCATCCAGAAATAATGCATACACGTGGAAGCAAAGGAAACATTCCCTAAAGCCCTCCAGCCCTCATGGTGCACAAATGGTCAAAGACGACCAGTACGGCTGGCTCAGGGTCTGGCCTGCGTCCCTTCAAGGACACCTCACGAACCAGAGCAGATCAGAAGAGGAATCCATCTTTAAAAAGACATCCATGCACACGTTTCTAGTACGACCTTTTTCAGTGGCTTGTTCCAATTCAGGGCTCACCAAATCCAAACAAACCCAAAACCTAACTCACTGCCACTGAGTGGACTCAGACTCACGGCGAGCCTGTAGGACAGAGGAGCTAGAACTGTCCAGGGGGGTCTGAGGCTAAGTCTTTATGGGAGCCTCGAGCCTCGCTTTCTTCCTGTGGTGCAGATGCCGAGTTAGAACTGCTGACTTTGTGGCTAGCAGCCCAACATGTAGCCCGCTATGCCGCCAGGGCGCCTGCTCACAGGTGTCTGTACTTGGCGGGAGAGCGCGTTCTTGGCTTACATAGCTTAAAGCAGGCTCTCTGGGCCTCTGGGAACAACCGTGTGTGTCACGTGGGAGAAAGATGTGGCTATTGACGTCCATACAGAGTTCACCTAAACCAAACCGGAGTCATGGTTCCCACGGTAAGTAACCCTAAGGAGGTCTGCCCCCTCAGGCTTCCGAGGCTGCAAGTCTTTACCGGAGCAGACAGCCTCATCTTCCTCCTGCAGGGGGTTGGCTATCAGCCAACAGGCAGCCCGCTCAGCTCCTCAGAACCCCCCTGGGGCAGCTCCACTCTGTCCCCTACGGGGGACTCACACTCAGCACCCGGGACTGTGGATTTCCTGCTGCAGCCTCGATGGTGCACACCAGGCTGTGACTGGGGTCAAGGGACGGGAAGCCAGACCCTTAGAACTGTGAGCTCTAGGGGCCTCCCACCTCTCCCCCCTTGTCCCCAAGGCTGTTGCTGCAAGATCAGTGAGAAGAGCAAACTCCGTATCATACTCCAGGAGGGGACACAAGGATGGGACACCCCCGGCTGGGCTCCTGAAGGGGCTACAGTGGACCCTCTCACCGAGCCCCAACCCCCAGCCCCCAGCTCACCTCACTGCTGCCATCTGGCAATGGGAAAAGCAAACAGCCTGGAAGGGGCATAGCAACAGCTGGCCGGCTGGCCGAAAGAAAGAAATGCTGCTCTCTTGACAGAGCGCCTCCTACCTCCGGTCGTTTCTGCGCCTCCGGAACAGCTTCTTGGTGTGCGCGATCTCGGCTTCGTGTGGTGTCGGGTGGTAGCCCTGTGGGTGGGGGACAGGAAGGGCATCGGTGACTTGTGATGGGAGCAAAGGACTTCAGGGTCGGAACGTGCAGGTTTCGGGGGTCCAGCGAATGACACACACACACACACACACACACACACACACACACACGGAGACGGTGCTGAGACTCCAGGTTTAGACATCGGTAGGGACAAAAGGACTAAGCCTTCAAATCACAGAGGCGTGTGCACTGGCTTTCAGGACCTGCTGAGAATCTGCAACGGAGCTGGGACGGTGCAGGGGTGGGGGTGGGGGGTGCTCACGGCGTGTAGGACAGAGGACAAGGACTTAGCCAACTCTCAAGTTTCCTGATAAAATAGGTTGTTCATTCTGCCTTCTCACAGCAGACTGGGCACTCTCAGTGCCAGCGGCTGAGTTTGGGGTCCATCACCAGGGCAGTCGTCTGAGGGGCCTCTGGGTGGTTGCAGCCTCCTGACTTTGGGTTATCAGCCACCTGGGAGTTCTTAGCACCTCCTCTTCCTTAGTGTCTTGACCCTGCCCTCACAGTGGACCTCCACCCAAAGTCTGTTTTGTCGTGAGCAGCCTGGGGAGGCATGAGAGGAGACCCACTAGGTGTGGGGGGAAGGCCAGCCCCACCCAAGAAACAAGGGCCTGGGAGGAGGGGGTGATCTGGTGGGGGCGTGCAACACCAAGTATAGGCCCCATGGCAGAGCCCACAGCCTGAGTCTGACCCCCACCCCAGGGGTCAGTGAGGCCTGGCTGTGCTCAGGATGAGAGAGAGGTCACAAGGGCCCTGCCTGCTCACGGGTGGTGTGACCCAACGCCACACTTGAAGAAAGAGAGACTGTGGCAGAGTGGCCACACATAAGTTAGGGGCTGGCACGGGCATGTGTAGCCTTCTGGAACTGCTTTTGCATGGGCATCCCAGCCCCTCAAAGAGGGGAGGACAGTGGGCACGGAAGTCCTGGCTCTGCCCAAACTGGCCTGCCTTGGAGTTTCCCGGGGGACAGTGGGCCGATGACAGGTTCAGGAGGACACAAGGACCCTGTATCTGTGGGGACTGGGCTTCAACTCTTGTTGAGTCCAGGGAGGGAGAGACATTCTGAACTTTATGTTAAACCTACAAAAGGTAGAACCTGTATATGAAGGAACCTGCCAGAGAAGGAACATGCCGATACTTCCCGCGAACACAGCACAAGAGAGAAGTGGTGGCTGACCTTGGTCAAAGGCAGAAAACTACACTGTGTGCTGGCTTCCCAGGCTCGCTCTTTGATTATCAGCCCGTCCCCGCTCCCAGATGCTGTCCAAAAGAGCATGAATGAATCCCAGGTTCCCTGCAGCCACAATGGCCCCGGGGCCCTCGGATGTGCTTTGTTCCACGGGGTTTTCAAAGGACATTATTTTCTTTCTTTAATATGAACACAAACAAGGAAAAACACCAAGTCTTCCCCTCTCATTTCCCCTCGCCCCACCCTGACCAGGCTCCCTTCCACTCCACCCGCCCGCCCTCCTGGTCACTTCAAGAATGCAATGGGTGTTTTCCAAGCAGACAATGAACAGGAAGCAGAGGGGCCTGGGAGCCGGATCTCAGCTCTGAGGTTGGGCAGAGGGAGCTGTTCCCTCAAACTCAGTGTTCCAGGATCCCAGGAGGCTAAAGGGTCTAGCTGCTTGCATCCAGTCCTCAGAGTCCTGGGCTCCTTCCCAGGACTCTGCAGCAGCAATAGGAAACTCACCTTGGGACAGGTGCACGGAATACCAGCTTTCTACTGAGACTCAGGGGGGTTCCAATGGCTGGTGAAGAGTGGCACTGCTCTCCTGTCTGCCTCCCTTCCATCCATCCATCTATCCACATACCCATTTATCTATCCCCACATCCATCCATCTGTCCGCCTGTCCTTCCATCCACCCATCCATTCACACACCCATTTATCTATTTTCATGCCCATCCATCCATCCATCCATTCATCCATCCATCCATCCATCCATCCACATGCCCATTCATCATCCATTCATCCATCCATCCATCCATCCATCCACGTATCCACCCATTCATCCACACAACCATCTATCCATAGAACCATCTATCCACATGCCCATCCATCTACACACCCATGCATGGATCCATACACCCTTAAATCCATTCACATACCCATCCATCCATTCACCCCCCCCTCCAACCATCTATCCATTCACATACCCATCCATCCATTCACCACCCCCAACCATCTAGCCATTCACAGACAATATCCATCCATCTGTTGTTGTTGGGTGTCACTGAGTCAGTTTCAACCGTAACACGACAGAAGGAGATGTCACTGCTCCTGAACCTTCTGACAATGGTGCCTGTGCTTGAGCCCATGGTTGTAGCCACGGTGTGTCCATCTTGTCGAGGCTGCGGCTCTACTTCACCGAGCATCATGTCCTCCAGGGGCTGGCCTCTCTTGACAATGTGTCCAAATTATTTAAGACAAAGTCTTGCCATCCTGGCCTCGAAGGTGCATTCTGGCTGTACTTCATCCAAGACACACCTGTTTGGCCTTTTGGAAGTCATGGTACTTTCAATATTCTTTGCCAGCACCACAATGTAAACACATGGATTCTTCCTTGGTTTTCCTTATTCAGAATCCAACTTTCATATGCACATGATGCAGTTTGAAAAGACCAGGCTTGGGTCTGGCACACCTTAGTTCTCAAATTAACATCCTTGCTTTTCAACACTCTAAAAAGGTCTTGTGCAGCAGTTTTACTCAATGTAACATGTCTTTTGATCTCCATCCAACTACACACCCACATATCCATTCATCCATCCATGTAGTCACACACCCATCCACACACCCAATTATCCACCCACATATCTATCCATCCATCCATCCATCCATCCATCCATCCATCCATCCATCCATCCATCCATCCATCCATCCACCTGTCTATCTATCCAGATACTCATCCATCCAACCATACACCTACTCCTGCACCCATCTATCCATCCACATGCCCATTCATCATCCATTCATCCACTTATCCACCTACACAACTATCTACAAACCCATTCCTCATCTATCCAGTCAGCCATCCATCCACACATCTACCCACATACCCACCTGTCCACCCATATATTGTCCACCCCCTATCAACATGCATTCACCCATCTATACCACATGTTAATATGTATGTATGTGTGTATGTGCATAATAAACACAAAGTGGGCTCTAGAGTTAGACTACAAATATTCAAATCCTGACTCTTAGTGGCTGTGTGATTTTGGGAAAATGACCTAAACCTCTACGTGCCTCAGTTTTCACTGCTGTAACATGGAGCTAACACTACCAGTCTTACAGTGTCCTTAGTACCCAGCACTCAGTATCCCCTCAATAAGCATCTCTGGTATTGGTGTCGTCTTCAGTAACGTCATTGTCCTCATCACCACCACTAATCCATCACCCTCCCCAGGATGCTGGCCCCTGGCCCAAGGGTCTGAAGGTGCCAGGGCAAGCAAGGTGTCTGTACCCCCTGCCCTCACAGAGCCCCAATCTGGTCTGAGAGAGGAAGCCAGGAGAAGGAGGTTTGCAGAGACCGTGTGGGGACCCAGGCCAGGATGACAGAACTAGTATGTGGCCTGGGGCACTGGGAAAGGATGGGGAAGTTCTGCCCTGTGCTGCTTTGACCCGAGGCTGGCAGAGCCCCATAGGAAGTGACAAGACAGCTAGAAGGGGTGACAGAGCACACGCTGCATCTTCTGAGTTCCCACACTCCTACCCAGGACCAATCCAGGCCAGGCTTATGGAGGACTGACCCTACCCATGAGGCCACCTGGTGCCCATCTCATTCTGGCATCTTGGCGAGTGCGTGCATAAGGCTGCACGCTCCCCTGGCACACTTCACATGGGATTCTCTGAGGCACCCCAAACCTGTACGAGGGGGCTGCAAACATAGGGAAACCCCATTATCTTTTCACTCCATCGTCCCTTACACTTGTATTCCATAAGCTTCAATGAGGGGCCCCTGCAGTTTGCCATTTGTTCTTCAAACCCAAGCTGGTGGTCGGGGACAGGTGGTACACACAGCCCCAGGTACTTCCCACACCCCCCTCATTAAATCCCAGTCCTCGGGCTCAGGTGACCCCAGGGCTTCCAGGGGGAGAAGCTGAACCACAGCCTTTTCATTCTGCTTCCTGGAAGGCTGAGGGTATCGATGCAACTGTCCTCCTAGCCCTTAAAGAACCCGCTGCCCCCTCAGTGAGGGGACACCCCTCCGCCCACCTCATCATGCTCCACCTCCTGTGTTTACTGAGTAGGAGCCTCAGGAGCTTCCTGGCAGGGAGGGGGCAGGAGGAGGCAGACACCTGAGGTCTCTCCAAGCTCCTTCAAGAGGCCGCTTCTCTCCAGTGTGAAAACGTCCTGTATCTGACTTGTTCTTCCAGATCCCAGTGGACAGGGGGGCAGGTAATGGTGATGGGAACATTCCCTTGATTAAGGGTGAGGTTGCACCGCCAATGCTTATAACTGTCAGTGAGTTGCACCCCTGCGTAAAGTTGAACTGGCAGTTGGGGGGTGGCCACGCTCACAAAAGGACCCGCAGCCACCACAGCAGCAAGGCGGAGGCTGCTTGTGGACAACCCAACAAGCCCTTGTGGGGTTTGGTTCTGTGGTTCTGTGGCTTCTCGGGTCCGGGCCACGGTTTCAGGGGACAGCCAGGGAATTGGCTGAACAGAATCTCTCGTTCTACTTTTGAGTTCGTTGTGTCATGCCTGGGGGCTTTGAAAGCTTGCCAGCGGCCAGCCAAGGCACAGCGAAGGTTGCTACTTCCCTGGAGGCATGAACGAAGGAGAGTCAGGCATAGGAAGACGATGTGGAAGGAAACACTGGGCCACATTTTGTTCTGTTGCCCAAAGGGCCACTATGAGTAGGGACTGACTCGAATGCACCAACCAGCAGCACCGTGGAATGCGTGTGCGTGGCCCATCACTTCCATGACCAGCTGGGAGCTCCTCCCCACCCCCACCCCATTATGGTGCAATG